ATTATTCAGCTGATGCGAATGTCGAGTCTGATTTTGATGACCCGGACAGGGAACCAGGAAGGACTAACTGCCCACGTGATCTCCAAGAGTTGCTTGACCAAGTAGGTCTGGTCGATGCCTCAGAGCCAGGGGCGGACTAGAACCAAGCAGAATCGCACAGCACAGGCGGAGTCAATAACAACCCAGCCTCTGGATACTCGTGTGTAAGTCCAGAAGAAGTAGCCGCAGTCTCTGCGTTTTCCTTTCGTCAGAAACGCTACGAGTGGCGTCGAAGGCATCACGTGACTGAGAGACCGGAGTTCAAGGAACAGGAAGGGGCTTCTGAAGACGTGTTCTGTGGTTGCTCAACACCAGTGGAATTTTTCTAGCTCTACTTCACGTGCCACTTCAAGAGGAAATATCTTTTCAGAGCAACCTCTATGCCACGCGAAAGGACATTGACCTCCAGCTGTCAACCACAGAGCTGCTTGGCTTCCTGGGCATCAATTTTTGATGGGATATCATAAACTTCCCTCTCGGAGGGACTACTGGTCAGGTTCCCCAGACCTTGGGGTGCCGTTGGTTTTAAGAACTATGTCGAGGGACAGGTACTCCAGGATACTTTCGAACTTACACCTAAACGATAATTCATTGTTATCCAGTCAGTGCAACGATAAGCTCTACAAGTTGAGGCCACTGATAGATGGGATGAATAGGCAGTTTCAACTAGCCTATGGTCTGAGACGAGAGGCCTGCGTCGACGAATCCATCATACTCTTCAAAGGAAGATCACCAATGAAGCAGTATAACCAGATAAAACCAATCAAACGCGGCTACAAGATTTGGTGCTTGGGAGACATGTCGGGCTTCATCCAGACCTTCCAGGTGTATCAAGGAAAGCAACCAGAAACATATAACCTTCAGTCTGAATTTGTGTTGGGGGGACGTGTGGTTCTTCACCTTTCTTATTGATCCTAGGAAAGAGCTACACGTTTTTCTTCGACAACTACTTCTCCTCCGTGCCACTAATGGCGAAGTTATAAATGAAAAAAAAACAAAAAAACATGTGCCTGTGCCACAATACGGAGCAACCGAAGGCACCTTCCAGAGCTTCACCCTGACAAAAGCTTGACACGGGGAGAGCACGACTTCAGAACTACAGAGGAAGAAATAACTCTCTTCAAATGGAAAGACGACAAGGTAGTCTACATTATTTCAAATACCATGGCCCTGAAGTGGGAACTGTGGAAGGAACGGAGCGAGACGGCACAAAAATAGCGGTCTCGTGCCCGACTGCGCTCTCGGACTACAACATGTTCATGGGAGGTATTGACAAGGCGGACATGCTACGGAGTATATATGGAACCGACATCAAATCGAAGAAATGGTGGCACCGTTTGGTTTCTGTTTTCCTGGACTTATGTCTTGTAAACAGCTATGTCACCTACTGTGAGTTGAACGAAAAGATCCCCTACCAGGACTACAAGCGCTCCGTTGTGATGAGACTCCTCACCATGGGACAGTCGTCTAGTCAAAAAAGCGATTCAGGTAGCAAAGACGGTGGACAGTGTCTCAAGCGGCGCGAATCCTCCTACTCAGTGTGTGCAGATGTGCGAAGGAGTAGTCTCGGCTCACATTGGTCTGTTTTTTGCGAAACACGTGGAAGGTGCGAAGTCTGCGCGCAGCGCAAGCAAGAATCACGGCCGTTCAGCAAATGCACCAGTTGCGGAGTGTTTGTCTGCATATCTAAAGAAAGGAATTGCTTTGGAGCTTTTCACGAGATTTCTCAACAACCTCGTGTTTCTTATAGGCCAGAAGTACTGACGGGACACACATGTCCCAACTCATAAAAACTGTTCTGTTAAATGAATATATATATATATATTTTTTTTTGCTTCTTGACTTTTTCAAATAGAGCCATTCCAATCATTTATTGAAAGTTTTACTACTCTGGGCAGGTGTTAAGTAGGCTCAGGTAGCAAAGGGTTAACGGCTTTTATTTTTTTTTTCACTTCTAAACCCGAATGTGTAATGGTGGTTGAGTGATCATGCGTCTGTACATGTTGAAATGACCATTTCAACATACAAATATAAACCGTTGACTAAAACAATTTTAAATTATTCCAAAGCAAATGTTGATGCGATTTGCGCAAATTTAGTCACATTTTCTACTTCATATTTAGATGACTTTGCTTCTATAGGTCTACTAATGAAAATTGGAATCTACTTAAATTCCAGTTACTTCAAATGGCAGATCTTTTTATTCATAAAGTAAACATTGAAACGTTGAAAACCCGTGGTTTTCGGCACGACTGAAAAAACTCCTCAATAAAAAAACATCGTCTCTATATAGACCTGCCAAGCTATCTAGATCCCAAGAAACATGGGAGAAATACGATCAATGTAATCTAATAACCAAGCTCGAAATAAAAAAAAAACGCAAAAAGGAAGTATTTAATGAAGACCTTGGTAACATTATGAGAACCAATCCCAAAAAGTTTTGGACTGTGGTTAATCCGAAACAAGGAAGGGAGTATTTTTCATTTTCCGATGACGTTGGAAACAAGTTGAGTCCTCTCGAGGCGTGTGAGCGGTTCAGTCGATATTTTAGTGAAGTCTTCTCGGAAGGGGAAACATGTTTCCCCTTCCGGATTACTACCCTGATTATAGTATGTGTCAGGAAATGCCTCAACTAACCATTTCTGCAACTGGTGTTTTGATACTTATTGACGAACAGCACTCAAACTCCGCTCCCGGCCCAGATAAAATTGCAATGAAACTTCTCAAACTATGCAAGCATGAGTGCCCAACCCTCCTTTCTCTGATCTTTCAACAATCCTTAGACACGGGCGAAATTCCCAATGATTGGATGCGCGCGCAGGTAATTCCAATACACAAAATAGGTTCAAAGAATGAATTTGGTAACTACAAGCCAATATCGTTAACAGGTGTCCCTAGTAAGCTCATGGAGCATATAGTATTTTTAAACGTTATGGAGAATTTATGCATCAACTTTATTTTTGTAAACCAGCACGGTTTCCGGCGATTCCACTCCAGCGAAACGCAACTTTTCGAATTCAGCATTGATATTCATGAAAATCGGCATTCCCGCTTAGAAACGCACGCCATTTTTATTGATTTATAAAAAGCTTTTGACAAAGTACTCATCACCGTCTTATGTTAAAACTTCGCTCGTTAAGAATAGACCCGTTTGCAACGAAATGGATTGCAGCCTTTCTTTCTAGCCGAAGTAATGAATACATTACTTTTATAATGTCTTCATTATGAAAGTTAAGGTTCGTCACCCCAACGCGTAAAATTCGGGCGTGCCTCAGGGAACCGTGCTTGGTCCACGACTTTTTCTGATATATGTTAACGACCTGCCTACTCGTATTCAGTCCACGATACCATTATACGCCGACGACTGTGTTTTATACCGGAAAATAGAGGGCCTGGATGACTGTACGCTTTTGCAGAGTGATCTGGTGTGTCTTGAGACGTGGTGTGAAGAGTGGCAGTTGCAAATTAACGTTTCCAAAACAAAATATCTTAACTTCAATATTAAACGCACCTCAACACAATTTCACTGCACCCCTTTAAGTGTCCCCATTGAAAATCTTCACACATATAAATATCTCGGACTTCATTTCACGCCCAGCCTTTCGTTGGAACCACATATTAACCACGTCATGGCAAAGGCTAATCAAACTTTAGGCTTTCTAAGACGTCACTTACACTTGACAGCACGGGAAACAAAACTGATTGCATACACATCTCTTCTTCGTCCCAAGTTGGAATACGCATCCCCACATCAGTCATATCTTACTGACAAGTTAGAAGCCATTCAAAACTGAGCCACCCGCTTCGTTCTCCTCAATCATACCCGTGCAATATAACAACACTAAAACAACCTAATATACCCCTTCTTGCAGACCGACGTAAAATAACACAACTAACCGCCCTTCATCACCCTGTACTATCATTCACCCTCAAAGAAAGAAAAATATTGCCCAGCTGCCAACCACGTCTCGGCATGCACAGACGACTCACAGAAACTTGAGCTCGCCACTCTTAGAACTAACATTTTCAAATATTTTCCTTTACAGTTATCTATATCAGACTGGACTTCCCTCCCTGACGACATCGTAACAGTAAAAGAGTCCATTGGATTTCCGTTCCGCAGTTGCCACTCTTTACAATATGTAAAAGAGAGCGGAAGGAGGAAAAGATTCCTAACTCTTGTTGACTTGTATCTGTATGGTTGTTTTTGCCCCCTTACGCAAAGCCCCTACCGGGTGCTATAAAGTTATATTAAATAATAATAATAATAATAATAATATTAACATCTTTATTTCCATCAATCTCGGATGAAAACCAAGATGAAAACCAAGGCACGAGGATGAAATGACATTCCATCCTCGTGATGCAAAATACATTTGCCCTTGTCGAGCTAACATATCCGTTCGACATGGAGTTAAAGCGAAGCGCTACAAGGCAGCAAACACCGCATTCGAAACATTTATAGGCAACGTCAGCTTTTAATGCTGCATGTACGACAGGCCGGTTTTGGCAGAACCATCATGTAACTGAAGAAACCTGCATATTGGTACTACTTCAGATTTCTCAACCGAAGATGTGAGCCCAAGATGAATCTAACTCAATTAAATTGTTTTCTGCAACAAAGTTAATTTCAGCTGCAGCTGTTGCAATCCATCATTTTATCCGATAGCATATGCACTACAACATAATATTCAGCCAAATTATTTTTGCGATATAAGAACCTGTAGTGTCCTTGCACAGGAAAATTGGGTCCATGTGTTTGAATATTTTGAAGTCGGTGTCCTTACTTGAGTAAAGTTTTTCTCGAAATCAAACGGGTGCGGACCGAAGTCTAAAATAAACTTTGCCTTGTAACTTCAGGTTATCCACCAAGCAGGTCGACAACGTTCTACAATCAATTTGGGAACGGGAAACCTCCGATATTTCGGACTCGGAGAATGAAGACGATGTGAACAACGTGAATGATGCGTACGAAACCGACAATGAGCAGTATGCTGGTTCATGTAGTGACAGGGACGACAACGATCCCAGCGGCACAGTCATTTGGCAAAGGCGCGTTTCGTGGAAGGCAGCAGATTCTGCACCAGCAAACGACGTGCCTGCTTTCGAAACTAGGTGTGTATTTTCGGAAAATAGATCGGAGTTCTCGCATGTTGACTACTACAAGCAGCGTATATGCAGATGACAATATGCTCGAAAAAGCTGAGAAAACAAACAAGAGAATTCTGAGGGAGCGTGGAACCATAGCTAAAGTCACTGACCATGAAGTTAAGCAGTTATTGGGTTGTTCAATGTTAAGTCGGGTGATTGACTATCCAAGAATACGATTTTCTTGGAAGAGCTTGACTGTTAGTTCAGTTGCTGACATTATGTCACGAGATCGGTTTTTCTTACTGAAATTTCACCTGTGCTGCCAACTTGACGATGACGTAAGTGATGACGATAAGAAAAGAGAGAGACTTTGGAGGATAGTGACTTTCGTCGAGATGGTGCGAAAGAGCTGCTTGGGCTTAAAAAGGGCCCAACTGCTTTTGTGTGGATGAGCAAATGATCTCATTTTCACGGCGCTGCCGTATGAAGCAATACATTCCTAACAAACCGAACCCCGTGGGCCTGAAAAAAACTTTGTTCTCGCAGGAAAGGACGGGCTGATTTATGACTTTGTAATTTACAAAGGCAAAGATACGTTTTCAAACGTTGACCTTGGCGTATCAGGCTACTCGGTCGAGAAGCTGTTTAAGAGAGTGCCTGCGTCTTCCACGCTTTACATTTACCGTTGGTTTTCTTCGGTCCGTTTGTTGGACGAGCTCACGAAGAAGGACATTTTCGGCACCAGCACTCTGATAAAGAACAGAATGCCAAAAGAGGCCCATTTCACAAATGACAGGGATCTGTTGAAGAAATCACGGGGCACTTCGCAGGAGCTGCTGCGACAAGACAGCACGCCGGCATGCACGAAATGAGTTGACAAAAAGACAATTATGATGCTGTCGCCTGCCTTTGAAGTGGAGTCTGAAGATGAGTGAAAAAGGTGGTGCAAAAAAGAGAAAACGTTTCTGGATGTCCCGCACCCATCCGTCAGGAAGAAGTACAATGAAAATAGGGATGATGTGCACTAAACTGACCGAATGCTTGCCCTGTATGCTCAAAGAAGCCGTACCATGGCCGGGCTGGAAGCGCGCGCTCTCTTTTGCTTCTTAAGGCCTTTGCAATTGCCGGGGATTCAATGGCATTTTTTCTCCGCATGTAGTTCACTTGCTTGCCGCCAGAGGCGCAACCACCTTACCCCACTTCACTCCACCCGGAGAGTCCCTTCGAGCTGCTTCACGCTGGTGTTCGAGCTTCGTAGGTTGTTGTTTTGGCAACGGTTTATTGAACTTCGCTCCGATTTAAGTCACTTTACAGCGTACAAATATGCACGAAGTTCTGCAACTTCTCATTGCACCCTATCTTGAAGATGCGCCAATCCAAAGTGGCTTAGAGGGCATTGACAAGAGGCACTCAAAGCGCTTGGCTGGTTTAATTTGCAACAAGTTCCTCAGAATGCGTCTGATTAACCATGCAAAGACTATCACGGACAGAAACAAAAATCAGCTGGATATGTGCACAAGCCCTCGAGGAAGCACTTTAGGCTGTTATATGCACTGTGCGAAAATTGTACAGACTACTACACCCTCGTCTAGAGCAGCTGACCGACTTCATGTGCGGCCTATGAAATGATGATTCAGACCACGGCAATAGATAAATTGGGCCTGCTTACATTTCACGAGAGTGTACGAATTATTTATCATTTAAAGTTCCTCCACGTAGAAGGGGTTCGTCTCCTCCTGTTCCTGAGTTGCAACAGAAGTCCTGGAGGTAAAGGCGAGTATAGTTTTTCCGCAATTGCATTCGCTGTCTCTACTTACTACTTTTTACTCCCGAATCTCTCGGAGATGTGCGCCAAATATTCACAATTTTGGGTTCATCAAAAGCGTATTAGATGGTGGCTGAGGGTCTAAACGTAAGGATCAGGTGTCAAAGGTTTTAAAAATCTCGGCCGCAAGTTGCGACAGCGCTGAGATACACTGTCAGGCGCGCTCTGTGTAAATGGCGAAGGGTAGCCCAGGGTAGGGAGGCTCAAGTGAGGGTGGGTGCAACCGCTAGATCGGCGATCACGGGACATGGACGCCATTTAATTGCTAAATTTTGCTGGGAGTCTATGGGGCAAAGGGTCGTTTTCTTTCCTAACTCGGGTCATAAAAGACCATTAAGGTGCTTGAATAATTTACACAAGGTATAAATGATTACTTTTCCATAGCCACCAGTTTTGTTGCGATAGCTTAAGTATTTTTTTGACGCGAAAAATGGTAAATTCCGCCATTTTGGACGTTGCTGCTTGTCTGGCAACTTTGCTTTCTCCGCTCGACGTTTGCAATTCTCGGAGCGAGAAGGAAGCGAGAGAGGCCGCGCCAAGGCGCTCGTTGCTTGAAATGGGAGGCGAGAGGAGGAAAGGCGCATGGAGCAACAGAGTTGCAACAGAGCGGGCGCCTGCTCTCGTGCAGGCAACACTGGCGCATATCCTTTCTCGAATCCTCTCCCTCAGGCGCCGCCATTAAATTGCGAACGCTCTCCAGGTTTTGAGTTGCGCCCACCCTCACTACAGCCTCCCTAGCCCAGGGGCAGGGGTGGCCAAGATACTTCGAAATTGTATCTTCGATACCGATACTCGATACCCTCGAAAATTGTATTTGAGATACCGATACAAGATACAGATGCAAAACTAATCTCCGATACAGATACTGAATACTGTATTTTAGATACCTCGATATATCGCTAAAACCTCATCCGAAGTACTTTAAAATGGGTGTATCTTATTGCTTTAGATTAATTAACAAAGGTATTAGTTGAATTCATGTGTTTGTTATATTGCGTCTTTTTTTCGAACGTTTACACAAACGTACAAACCTCCGTAAAAATATTGCAGCCAAGAGAGCAGCGAGGTATAAAAATACACGCTATTTCAAATCCACAGAATCTACCAAACCAAAACGTTCCATCTATAATTGAGTTTTAGTCTCCGGAAGTTTTTTTCAGAAACACGGACTATGTGGTGTTAACGAGTTATAGTAGATCGTGTTTTCAGGGAAAGATATTTGTATTGGGAGCTCGCGCTGCCACATCGAAGCATGCTCTGAAGCGCGCGCATGGAGTGGTGTCGATCCAATGAAAACGATATACTGAAACTCCCTACTGTCGCTGTCGGGGGCTGAAGCTCGAAAAACAAATACAGGCATTGAAAGAATCAGGAGAGCGTCTTGGTGAAACATTCATGAGGAGGATTTAGAACGCAAGTAAGAAGAAGGGACACACAGAAATATGAGACAGACATGGCAGTCGGTGTCTGTCTCGTTTTCATATTAGTCCCTTGAGTTTACTTGCGTTCTGAACCCTCAAGAAGTGACAGACACTTTTAGATAGATGTACAAGTATAGGCAGCAATTTAGCACCATGTTTTGCGTCTTTTCGTTCTGGTCGCTTTATTGTAATATTGTCGCGCAAGAGCTTGCTGCCGTTTTTGCCGCCCTGGCGGTTGAAAAACCCTTCGGTCACAATGGCACCCGTGGGACCGCAGCCTTAAGCAGAAGCATTTGCTCAAAACGCCGGTCTGAAAGTCCGCCGCGATGCGGGCGTAAGGTTAGCGACGCGAAGGAGAACAGCCGTTCTACAGGAGCCGAGGAGCACGTTGGGGTGTTGTATCTAATGAAGGCGCTTCTCAGAGAAGGGTATGAGCGGAGCATATCGAATTCAACTCGAGGTTCTTGCAGGTAGCTCTCAGGAACTCAAGTTTGACTTGATCTTCCTGACAACTGGGGCTCGTGCCGCAGTGGGCTTCAAAAGAAAACTATGCATCAGCCGATACGTCAGAGGCTGCAGAGGTTGATGGCGCGCACGCCAAAGGACGCGTGGTATGCTTGGTTGCATTTACAAAGTCAATTACAACTTTTTCTGTGAGTTGCTGGCCATGCTCGCGGACATCTTGAGGTTCTCGTGACAACCACCGCAACTTAAAGTAAGGGTGAAGAACGGCAGCAACAGTCGCATCATTTGCACTTGGTTTCATTCGCAGAAGCTCGTCAAATCTGCGAATGAACCCAGATGTAACCGCATCCAAAAGTGGTCTGCAGTAGACGAAGTCCATACCAGCCTTCTCCTGAAGCTTTGATTTAACGGTAAAAAGCGTTGGCAGCAGCTCCCCGAAGAAGCAATCGGACTGCGCTTGGAGTCCCGTCAGAGCGGAGGCGATGGGCTGCAGGATCTCACAGTACTCGGCAATAAATGCTAAGTCTCTTTCTTGGAATTTTTGCAGATTTAGTCCATCGCAGACATCTCGCAGTTTATCCTCCGAGCGAAGGAGGTCTTTCATGCTGTCATACAATGAATTCCAGCGTGTTACGCATGGCGTCTTCAGAGAATGCCCTAGGATGTCCACAATAACTTCACGCGACTTGGGTCTTCGAACGCAGTTCCATGGAGCTGAACACTTTCACATGACCGATGTGTTAGCACGTTCAAAGGACGGTGTCGACAAGGCTGCCTTCGCATCTGAAGTTGCCACAAGACTCAGCCTGTGACATGCGCATCGAAGATGACGAGGCAAGTTGATTTCAGCATCGTCCAGGTTGTCGGGTTCGACCATAATTTCAAAGGACAAGCCGGCGGCGACATCATCTGCCAGTTAAAAAAGGAACACATTTAGCCGAAATACTTAAAACAGCACTCAAGATTACATGTTTGGAAACATTTTACGGTGAATAACACATATTCATAGAAACTAAAAGAAAAACAGTTGTGCAATAATCAAAAACACTCTCGTTTGCATTAGCTCCAGTGGCTTCATCTTCAATTATTTGTATTGCGTATCAAAAGAACAATTATATGTATCACAAAAATTAACCAAGTCAGCTGCACCAGACAAGAGGAAAATTAGAATCGGTGCATAACATGACGGATATTTTTCACACTTCTTGCATTTGTAATCGCACGTTACCCACTTGGGTTTAGGTTATTGAGACAGACGTAAATCAGTTTTTAAAAAATCTGAAAAAATGTTTGATAATAAGTACAGCATTACCCTTACCCTGGTCAGTAATCTCAGAACAAAAGCCGAACTCCCTGAAGGCTTTGGCGAAGTTGCTGGCGTTGTCTGTGACCGTGGCTACGACCTTCTCCCGCGAGATGTCGAAGGACTGCCTAATGTCTTCCAGCATTTCTGCTATCCTGTCGTACGTGTGGCTTCCAGGAAACCTCCTGCAGGCCAGTGCGAGCGACCTCCGAGAAAGGGTGTCAGCATCGATCTAAATAAATATACAAATATTATCATTCATTAGTTACTTAATCATGATTTTCCACAACTTCTACTTTTTAATACAGAATATGTTATAGGAATGGCCTCAGGCACTTCCGGCGACGCCTTCTAGGTAACGAAGGTGTGGAACACGAAAATTGAAATATAAAAGACACCGGCAGCGCTCCGATACGAACCATGCGTCCCTCAGATTATGAATCCGATGTCTTAAACACTGAACTACTAGGGACTTTTTTTACGAATCTCTGACCCTCATACTGTGAATCCGATGTCTTAACCACTGTACTACCGCTCTATGAGGAAACCATATGCTTCGATTCACCTTATACGTGGGCGAAGCATAAAATCTACGTGACCTACGCGTTCCACTCCCGCTCGAGCGCTACTTTTGGCAGGGCTTTCTTCCGGAGACGCTGTTTCCAGCAAGCTGATGGAAGCTCCCCAAAATAATGCGTACACATTCTGTGTTACCACTGCCTTTGCCACGGTAGTGAAGGAAAGGGACACATTTTGTTTTATTCAAAACACAAAGCGCTTACCCAATGAACCGTGACACCCATGAAGCTACGATGGTGAGTGGACCAGATGTCAGCTGTGGTTGCAACATAGCTTTGA